AATTAAAGATCCAAAAACCTTGCTTAAGATAGGAAGAAGACTAATGGGACGGTAGTTTGACGAATCGGATCACTCTCCAGAATTTTTAAAAATAGGGATAACAGATGCTGCTTTCCAGCAGGCTGGAAAATAAGACTCTGATAAGCACTTGTTAAATAGTTTTGAAAGGATAGATGACAGCTCCGGAGAACACTTCTGCAAGACTATAACAGGTATGTTGTCCGGGCCGCAAGCTGTAGAAGAGTCTAAGCAGGAAATCACTTTATATACAGAAGCTAAAGTGATACGGATGTCGAGCAATGGATCAACCTGTTTGACGGCAATATCAGGTAGAATGCAACTAGTGGAATCAAGAGATGATAAGTTCTTAGCAAACAATTCAGCCTTGTCTTTAGGTGAGGTGAAAAAGTCTGAACCATACAAAAGAGGTGGAATTACAGACTTGCCCTTATTATTGATACTATTAAAGATTCTCAAAAATCTGATCTGCAAAAAGCATTCAACTAATCTGCCAATTCAACTAATCTGCCAATTCAACTAATCTGCCAATTCAACTAATCTGCAAATTCAACGAATCTGCAAAAAGCGTTTAACTAAATAATAAAAATAAAATTTTCTTAACTTATTACATTTTTAAATAGCGCTAATATCAAATGTAATCGTCATTCAAGCTTTTTTGTGCAATTGCCATTCAAACTTCATTAGTGGTTTTTATAACATTAATTGCTCACTGTTTACCTAAACCATGATCAATCCTAAACTCACGTCCCCAGAAAACCATTTTGGGGGATGACAGCCCATATATAGTAGAACACAGATATAAATTTGGAAATCAAACTATTACATCCGAGAAAGATATTTTGATTTTAAATTTTGAAGCTAATAGGCTTAAAAAATTGCAAAATGACAGGGGATTTTGCATTTTTACAGCATTTATTATTCTTTTTTAAAAGTCATTTTATAGTTGTGATAACAAAAGAAACATTTTTATGTATATAAAACAAAATTTCTAAATGAAAATATTACATCGGGAAATAAGATTACAATATTCTTAATTATGGCTTGAAAAAGACTCTTTCAACTAAAATGAATGCTTGCTGTTGGGCTCTATAATACAATTTAGAAGCTTCTTTTCATATTCTGGATGACTGGGATCACGTTTGAATCGTTGCTAATGTACATTGAAGTTGTGATGCAAAGCTTCTGTGGCCTGTTCAAAAAATACTCCAAGGCTTGATTTGTGGCGGTCAATAAAATACTTCACATGAAAGACTGCAGGCGCTTTTGGAGTGATAGAGGTCTTTGGCAACTTCACGAAGGAAATCTGGAACTCCTTGATCTTGTCTGCAAAGTTGGAAGAAAGATTATTTCCAAAGCAAGAATTCACAACCCTTTCAAAACATCTGAAAGTTTCAACAAAAGGTATGGCATTGAATGAAGAGCTTTGTTCGGCCAGATTTTGTAGAACGTCTGTATGCTTCAAAAGCTTTTGACAATTATTTCCAGCAAATTGGACCCATGAAAAGGCTGTTCTCAAATATGAAGAGCAGCAGGCCATTGATTGGCATCAGGCCATGTTTGACAAAAGTTTTTGTAGAGATGATTTACTACTCCAAAAAGAAGATATAGCTCCATTGGAGGGATAAAGTCCAATAAGAGTGTTTGATTGTCCAACCCAATTATTGGTTTGTGAACAACATTGTTAAACTTTATTGCTCTTTCAAAATTGATCTACTCCTTTAAAATGCATCAAAGTCAGCTTATGTGATTTGCTGCTTTCACGTCACATGAAACAATGAAAGAAATTTTCTGCAACAGGAGCAAATTCAAAACACTTTTCAAGATTTCATAACTCTCTAGTAGGTTTTCATAAACAGCAATTAATAACTGACACTTTACACCTGTGTCTTTTGCAAAACACTTTGAGGGATGAGAAGAATCCTCTTTGTTTGCTTCAATAACTCCCAAAGATACTTTCAAAAAGCCGCCTCCGCCATCAATTCCTACTTTGATCGATGGTTCTTCAGGAATATTTCTGCTTTTGAAACATGGTTAACTATATCAGACACATCTTTGCAGTGAACAACAACTCTGGTTGAATCTTTATTTGTTGAGTCTTGAATGTGGTTTGAAGTGAACTGTTCTGCAAGAGTCCTTCCAAGTGACTCAAACTTGTCACAAAATTTTTTTTCAACAACCTGAAGTGACTTGATTTATATATGATGCAAGTTTTTTTCATGCCAGGTTTAGAAAGTCCAGTTTCATTTTGAACCTTGAGCATACCTATAGCTGTTAACTTTTTCTCCTAAGGAAAGAGTTCTCTTGCCCTGGATGGCCCTAAGAAAAGACTATGCTATTAGACACAGGGGATTAATGCTTATGATAGTTTAAATTTGTATCATACCTGGAACAACTGGAAAACTGTTGTCTCCCTTTGCTTGACTGAGCCGGATAGTGCCATGAGGAGAAGGAGGTTTGTTTGAGATGATCATAGTTGCAACCATCTCTGCAGTCACTGCATCTTTTGAGGCAATTACAACCAAGTTTTGCCATTGTTCCTTTTGCACAACTGTGGGGCAGCCCTCGTCCAATCACAGAAAAACAGTCTGAACATATTTTTTCAATGCTTCCTTCGTTCTTAGGTTTACTTGCTGACAGCGGATGAGGAATGTTCAGCTTATTTCTGGAAATTTGACAGATCAAACAACCACAAGGAGATTCTCTGGTAGCTGGTGGAACTAAGATACTTTTAAAATTGTTATGGCTAGAAAGAGGAGGATTTTCACACATCTTTTCTTATGATGGCAACACAACATCATTCACAAATACCTGAAGGAATCCAGTTATCATAAAAATCCAGCTCAACTTTAAAAACTTTTTGTGCTTTCTCAGAAAAGTTGTTTTGCTCACGATTTCCTTTCTGAAAACACAAAAAACAAACAGCTTTTTTATTCTCTTCGTAGTCTTTGGGTTTGTTAGGCATTTTTGCAACTTATATCTTCTAGTGTGTTGTGAAAATTGTTTATTTTTTGAAATGCATGCTTTTTCCCAGAAATTTTTTGAAAAAAAGCCACAAAAATAAGACATTATTATTTTAAGATATTTGTTTTGGGAATGATAAAAACAACCAAAATAATTTTTAGAAACACTAATGTTTTTACTTAAAAGTACTTCAAGATGTTTTCCCCATAACCAAGTTGAGTAATAAGTTCTAAAAAATGCAAAATCCTCTGTCATTTCGCAATTTTTTAGACCTATCAGCTTCAAAATTTAAAATCAAAATATATTTTTAGGATATAATAGCTTGATTTCCAAATTTATATCTAAATGTTCTACTATAATAGGCTATTATCCTCCAAAAAGGTTTTCTGGGGACATAAGTTTAGGGTTGATCATGGTTTGGGAACACAGTGTGCTTCTTTTATCTTACCACTTAAACATTGTCTTTAAAATTGTTTAAATATTTAAAAATAATAAAAAGCGGCTTGTGAAATGGTTTAATGCATACGTAAGTATGTTCATAAGTATATACGTAAGTATAAGAGTAAAATGGCTTAATGCATACGTAAATGGCATTTTATGCTTTAAAACAAGGCCTGATACATCTATAAACACATCAACCCACGGAATTAAGGTAGGCATTTGGCAATGCCAACCTAAAAAGTCTTTGAGGTCAGCAAAAAATTTCCGACCTCATTTTTCCTAATTCTGAGGGTTGACCTACCCTATATATTGATATATATACTTTTTAAAACCAATTCACTTCCAACAAGGTTGCAAACAACTATTATTTAGTTATAAGTTACTATAAAATAGAAGATAAAGTTAAAAAGCGAGAAAACAGTTAACTGAATACTTAAAATGTTGTAGGTTTTTTAAGTCAGGTAAACATGATGATGATATTGCAGGTCTAATTACATTTACAATGTGCTTTTAGACTGTCTAAGAGTAAAAGGGTTGTTATTCATCAATAAAAGAATGCCAACAATATTGCAACATTTTTTTGCAGTAAATAAATGAGTTTTGTTGTCTAATAAAAGTTGTGAAAAAAAGTCCAGAATTTAAATCCATAAGCCACTGCAAGCCTTAGGCTGTTACAGAAGAGAGATCAAATTTAAAATTGGCTGCTTTTTCTAAACAATTAAAAAAAAAAAAAGGTTAAAAATATCTTTAGCTAAGACTTTATGATAAATATACCATAAGTATCTAGAACAATTTTCAATGCATTGCATTTATGATCTAGACAGTGCATTCTATTTATGATCCAGACAACATATACCACACAATTTTCCTGGTTTAGAAACAGATTTTTCCCAAGTTTCTGATACAAGTTTCAATAAATGTTTTGTTTATACAAACTACATTAGTTAGAAGTTTTCACAATTTGCATTTTTCTTAATTAGCTCCAGAAAACCAGAAAAATCAGAAAAACTTTTTTAGCCAAATAGTAATCTGCATTGAAACAATGTTTTGTTTTAACTTTGTCAAACAAATGGTTAAACATTATTAATAATGAATGTGGACATTTTTTTATATGTAAAAAAAAAGGCGATATAATTTAAATTAAAAACATATTAACTTATTAAAATTATTAAACTATTAAAAACTGACTGAAGATCAAGCAAGAATAATGAAATATTCTTTCACTTTTTATATTAAAAAAATTTATTTTTAATACAGTTTCCTAATTATTAGGAAACTGTATTAATTAAATAATCATATTATAGTAGTCTGGTATTTTAATTATTTTTTCCCATTATTTCCCCTTGTAATTAAAAAATAATAAAATATGGGGAACCATACAACCACCAGTTAATATCACAATCAAATACCACACAACAACCAGTTAAAAATCGGTAAAAATCTGATAACCACACAGGCAACTGGGAAAAAAACACAACTATTTTTTTCCTGGTTGCCTGTGTGGTTATCAGTTTTTTAAACTAACACACACATCTACATAAAATATAACTTTAAAATATACATATATATTAACTTACTTGTTTTCCAGTTGTTACCACCAAGCTGTATCATTGGACGTCTACGACCCACATTTGGTTCTTTATTTCGCTTTCCCATATTTAAATAATTTCTCCTTAAGTTTAGTTAGTTTTTCAGTAATAACATAACTGTTAACATCTGTAATAACAAATTTAGAATATTTAATAATTATCTTTATAAAAAGAACAAACTTTTTTAAATTTTTTTCTCAAAACCATTTTTAATAAAATCAATACAAGTTTTGACTTAATTTAAGTCATCTTTAGTTGAATGATAATATTAATAGTTTAAAAACAATTTGAGCACCATACTTTTAGAGATTTTAGATAGATTTGAGCTTCAAACCCCTTGATTGTCAAAGTGTTCTGACACAAGTCTACTACAAGCCTACTACAAGTTAGATATTAACAAATTATAGCAATCGTTTAAAAAAAAAATCTAAAGGCTTCTGTGCAATAGTTTAGAAACAGTATCATAACTTGCAATAAAATCAAGATTTTATTAAACAAAACCATAATTATTTGAAAGATTTCTGAACTTTGCAATATTTGAAATCAGGAAAAGGTTGTATAATAAAGAAATTTTTTTGTGTTTATAAAACATAAACCCATTAAAAACAAACCTCACACACAAAAAAAAATTATAGATAATTGATAAATCATTACATCAAAACAATCTATTTAGGCGCCCTCCAATCAATAAATGACTAAAATATCTGCAAGAAATTTGAAAGCATAATATTTAATACAAAATATCAGTTACCTACTCTTAAATATGGGGGAGAAATAACATGAAGAATATTATGCTACCATATATAAATAATACAATGACTAAAAATTTGAGTCATTGTATCCTTTACATATGGTAGCATAATATTCTTCATATTACATATTGTCACCATTATAAAATAAACTTTTTTTTATGTTTTTTTTTTAATTACAAAAAAACCTTAACAGATTCAGCACAATTTTTTGGATTATTATTTCATTGCAAGATCCATATTTGACTCAAATTTATAGATTTTATTATTTTTAAAATAATAAAATCTATTATTTTAAAAATAATAAACATTAGCACAAAAGTCTTTTGTTGTATGTTTGTTTGTATGCATGTATGTATTTATGTATTATGTTATGTATGTATGTATGTATGTATGTATGTATGTATGTATGTATGTATGTATGTATGTATGTATGTACGACTATATGTATGTATATGTGTATATATATACATATATATATATATATATATAAATATATATATATATATATATATATATATATATATATATATATATATATATATATATATATATATATATATATATATATATATATATATATATATATATATATATATATATATATATATATATATATATATATATATATATATATATATATATATTACTAAATTCATAAAAACTCACAAAATGTAGTTAGCGAGATTGATTAAAAAAACATGCTTTTTCCAAGTATTTTAGACTAAACAGATAATTATCAACTATATTAGAAACAGATAGTAACTACAGGTAGTTGGCAAAAACACGTATTTAGATTTAAGTCATAAATAACAAATTTATTCAATAAATAAATGCATAATGGTTTTGCTTCAAACCATGTTCGGCAGATAACCCGCCACAGGTCGCTAAATTTCAATGCGTCATGTTTCTATTCTAAGTTAAGTCTATTTTTTATTTGCCGGTTCGATTTTTACCCGATTAGCAAATATCCGAACCGGAGCCTAAAATATAAAAAGAGCTGATCATACTCTAAGGGAACTTTGCCCATTCTTAGCCTCGGTCGGGATTAAAGCAAAGTCTCATTCGGGCTGAGTAATTGCTGGCTATATTTTTAGAACTTAGAACTCAGAACTCAGCTTAATTATGAAGTTTAAATACTTCATGCTTATGCTAAAATTAGCTTATTAATGTGATAATTTCAATATTTATTAAAAAGATTTATGCCATCAACATACATCACCGAAACTTATTTTTGGGCTTTGAAAAAGATGTAAATATAAACAATGAAAACAAGATGTACTGATTCTAGAAAAAACTATATGAAAATTCTAGGAAAATACCTGTAATAAATCGATGAAAATTCAAATATTGTAGTGCAATTTTATAAACAAACACTTATTATTTCTACTTTTATAAAGTACTGCATGTTCAGTGGAGTTATTTTTATGCAGATTACCGTTTAAAATTTCATTTACAGAAATATGTGTTTATATTCTATTGTAAATTATCATTTCAAAATATTTCAATATAAAAATAGTTCGGAAATTGCACAATAGTTTATTATTTTGGAAGTTGATTGTGATTGAGTTTTTCATTTAAGGATTCATATGTGTATATATATATATATATATATATATATATATATATATATATATATATATATATATATATATTCCTTATTATATTGAACAGTTAAAAATCTGAAATAGCAGTTCTGATTATCTCATATAAATCAAATTTAATGTTAGCCTTTATGTCAAATTTAATGTTAGCCTTTATTTTGTACATATAGCGTGTGAGTTTTGATATATAGTGTGTGAGATGTTTTATAAGTTAGGTCTTTTTAAGCAAGCGTCTTTTTAATATGTTTTATAAGTTAAGTCTTTTATACAAGTGGCTTCTTTTTTTTCTTTTTCTAAATGTTAAAAAAGAGATGAAAAATGTATAATATGAAGTGATCTTTTAGATGATGTAGACACATCAACACACGGAAGAGATAGAATAAAAATAAGAATAAAAAAAATTTATTTTCTAATTGAATAATTAGTTTTTTTCTTTCTTTTTTTTTTTTTTTATCCAATCAATTTAAAAAGTTGTTATCATCTCATGTCAACTTTTTATACAATTAGAGTCGATGTTAAGATTGTCACGCAACCATCCAGGTAACAATTGTGATTAAAAAGCTAAGCATCTTTAAATCCAGGCCCGTAGCAACCGGGGGGTCAGCAGGGGCATTTGCCCCTCCCCTCAATAACTTTATAAATAAATAATGTTAATAAAAATTGACTTTAAAAACAACAAAAAAAAAAAGATCCTTAAAACTATTTCGGGGCCACTTAATCCAGCACTGCCAGCCCCTCCCCCCCCCCCACCACCAATATAATTTTTGTTCCTACGGGCCTATAATCTACAGAGTAAATTTATTATGATTTTTTTCTGAAACTGCAATCCTATATTTGATGCCGACAATTTAATTTTTTTATCTTTGCCTCATTTGGCCAAAATGCCAAATCAAGCAAAGGTTCACGAAAAAACTTGAAAGTTTGCTTGTTTTTGCTTTTTTAAGATACACATTAGTCTTGACGTATAAGTGCTTGCTCAGGCAATGTTACAATAACTAATATAGCTATGAATAAATGAAAAGTAAATAAATTTTAAACAGTTTTTATCCAACATAAATCTAGTTTTTATTTTTTGAAATTTTATTTTCTATTAGATTAATGTGCTCTTTTTAACTTATTTGCTCATTGATTAAAACGCCTAAGAATACAGAATGTCCGCAACCTGATTGTTTCTATTAGAATATCCGGCAAGATATCAGATTTATAAGATTTAGAAAAGAGAGCATATTTGCTTTTGGTACGATTTAGAGATTGTTTGAGATTTTTAAGATAAGAACAAATCTATTTAAAATTATTGTTTTGACTCTATAACTTTTAAAATTGTACAGAAGAATATCATGATCCACTGTATCAAAAGCTTTAGAGAGGTCAATAAACACTCCAAGAGTAGATGGATTAATTTTAAACCAATTAAAAATTTCTTTAACTAATTTAATTAGGGGTCGTCCATAAAGTACGTTTGCCAAAAATTCTGAAATTTGACAGCCCCTCCCCCTGTTGCCATGCGTACTTGTATACTTATACGACTTCAAAGCCCTTTGAAGTTAGCGGCAAAGAAACCCAATTTAAAAAACATTATCAAATATATACAAATATAAACAAAATTAAATCTTGTAATATTGAAGAGATCGCTCGGCTGAGTGGGTAATATTATGGGCAGTGACGGGCAGAGACCCGAGTACGATTCCCAGTAAAGTCTTACTTTCCCTTATTTGTTTAATAAGACGCATCAAATAAAAATAAGCTATACTTAAGGCAGACGTTTTTTTCAGGCACTCCTCTTTAGTAAGTCCGTAAAAAGTGAGTCACGCGAGAAGAGTAATATTGAAAACAAAGCTTAAAACCCAGTGCCGAGTGTAGGCTACCCATACCCCGTAATTAGAGGGGGTAGGGTGTTTTGGGGAGCAGGAAATTTTATGACCTTTTGTTATTTTATTTTAGCAAAACCTAGCGGTAAAATTTGGAAGATTTTGACACGTTGACACGTTGTTTTTTTTTGAGGGGAGAGGGGTCTCCGACCTATTAGCCATTGCACTGCTAAATCCTGTTTTTTGTTGACTCAAAAAATAGGCAATTTATTTTTTGCACATGCATGCCCACATGCCACTCCTTATATACTGGCCCTGAGTATACTCAGGGCTGGTATATAAGGAGTGGCATTTGCGCCTGCAGGATTTTTTGATGTTCCAGATAGGACACTTTCACAAATTGTGCAAGCTCCAAACTTAAGTTTGTTTATGCTTATGCCAAATGAGGAGACCTTGTAAAAAAATTGGGATGGCGGAGACTTGTTAACAAATAGCCCTAAAAGGGCACTTATGTAGTAAAATTTTTAACTTAATCATCTAAAATTAAATTCAAATTTATCAACAGAATTTAAATTTCGTCAAAAAATATTGTAAATTACAAAAGTTATGTCGATACAAAATGTACAGCCCCTCATTTATTTATTTTTTTAAGGGGAGGGGTTCGCAAAAATTTTACTACATTAGTGCCCTTACGTTTGGGCAGGGAAGGGGGTGCAAACATTTGACGGCTTTTTTGTTCCCAGACTACCGCCAAAACAATTTTTTGCAAGGCATCTTCAAATGGCATAGGTATAAATATACTTAAGTTTGGAGTTTGCACAATGTGTGGAAGTGGTTTATCTGGAATGTCAAAAAATCCTGTGGGCGCCCATTCATGTGTGTGCATAGAGAGAAACTATACCTTCTACTCCCAATACAATACATCTTTTTATGTTGGCAAACTAGGATCTTTAGTAAGAATTTTAATTTTTCTATTGACTAGCTGGTTAATTGTGTAAAATTAGAAAATCGAAGTACGTATTTTTAAATTGAACCCTCCCCCCCCCCTCCCTTATACGCTTTCGTACGCTTTTTAAAGACCTCCCCCCTCCCCCCTATGAGCGTACGTACTTTATGGACAACCCCTTACTGCATGTTCTGTCAAGTGCCTTTTTCTAAATCCGAACTGATTATTATTTAGAACTTTGTTATTTGTTAAATAGTGTTGCATTATATATGCATTATTTGTCTGTTGCATTATATATGAATTATTCGTCTGTTTCATTATGTATGCATTATTCGCTCTAGAATTTTAGAAAAATATAGTAGTATTGAAATAGGTCTATAATTAACTTTTTTATAATTATATATTTAAAAATATAAATAATTATGAAAAAATGATTAATTTAAAAATATATTTATAATTATATATATATAAAATATATATTTATAATTTAAAATATAAAATATATATTTATAATTAATTTAAAAAACCTTGAGCTATCACCATTTTTAATTATTGGAACCGCTCTCGGTAGTTTCAAAAGGTCTGGAAAATCATTTTTAAGTGAAAGTTTAAAAATAATAAGTAAAAGGGGTATTTAATAATATCAAAAACTTCTTTAACAACACTAGGGCTAATACCAAGACTTGCGCTTTATATTAAGTTATTTTGATTAAATTTCTTGCAGAGAAAATTAAATACTATGTCTTACAATTTAATCAGATGCTATTTGATGGTGACATGTAAAAAATAAGGTTTATATTGTTATTATTTCATTTCATTTTGTAAGTCAATGTATTTAAGAAGGTTTCAAGGGACAACAAAATTTTTTTTAACAGCAATGTTTTTTTTTGTTATCCAACTTGTAATCTTTTAACCAGGTTTTCCACTTTTTTAGCACATTTTCTTGCATTTTAACAGTAGTTTTTATTTTAAGAAATGTTCAAATATTTACGCCATGCTTAAGCCGATTCAACAAACGCTTCAAATATCAAATCAACATTTTTGTCTATAGAATGAAAATAGTACATGTAGCAATAAAATCATTTTAAAAAAAATTGTTGGTATTACACAGTAATATCAACAATTTTATAATATATACACTCATGTAACCTTTATTTTGAAAATAGTGATAACCGTTACCGATTATAGTGAATAACACTATAATCGGTAACGTTTTGAGGTTTAAGTAACAAAAAACTAACAAAGTTTAAACTAAAACTCCCATAAATCCTTAACCAGGAAACCAATCCTACTGAAATTTTATCCAGAGTTTGGTTTGGTCATATGCTACATTTGCACTAATTTTCATCAAATTATATGTAGTGATTCTCATTCTACAGATGTTTTTATTCTCCCACAATAAAGTCAAAATTTCACTCTATTTGAACATTCAAATTAAATTATTTTCCGC